CCATTCCTGCCTGAGTCTCTGTCCTTTCCCCAGGCCTGAAGGAGCCAGTAGAGTTGGTGGGGAAGGCGCCAGGCCCCGGAGAGGCAGCGCTGACCGGGGTCTCAGGAGGGACAGGGGCCCAGCGGGAGCAGGAGGCCCAGAAGCAGCGCCGGGTGGAGCTGTGGGTGGAGTTCAGCCACATGATGGACACCCTGCTCTTCCGCCTCTACCTGCTCTTCCTGGCCTCCTCCATCCTCACCGTCATCGGCCTCTGGAACACCTAAACAGACATCTAGCTCTTTCTGCAAACCACAGTGTGGACTTTCTCCTGGTCTTAGAGCCAACCAGACCCAGACTGCTTTCCTAATCTCAGCCACTTATCTCAGTGACTGTCATCCCCCCTTCTGTATTCCAAAAGCTCCAGTGCTACACTACAGAGCAGGTTCAGAGGACAATTTCCTGACATTCCTGCATGTTCTCAGTATACCTGAGCCACACCTGACTCCTCACTCCCTTAGCAGAGGAAGTCCAGGCCAGGGGAGTCTCTCCTTGACTGAGTGCCCATGAGGCAGCTCTGCAGGAAGCACTGGCTCCTCAGGGTATTTATTAAAAGTCTAGAAACACGAGGGTGGAGAATCCTCTAGCAGAAGTTTTGGTGCCTCACCCTTAACAGGTGTGATCTGATTTGATTTTAAGTGTTTTAGACACTTCCAGAGTTTTAGAAGAATAAAAAGGTCAAGACTTACTTGCAAGAAATTATTTCATTTGCAATAAAATATTTGCAAATGCAAAATGTTCCTTTCACCAGCTGTTTCTTTTTCACTTTCCTTTTCTCATTCTTGAAATTGTTTCTAAAAATAAATATTATATTGCATCACTTTGTTTTTATTCTGACAGGTTGCTCTGATTTTTTCATCAGACAAAGTGGGTCTTCTGATGTTTGGAGAATGGCCAGGAAGGACCCCCATTAAAGGGTTCAGTTTAAATAAGCTGTCATTCAGCTAGACTATAGAATGCTATGCAGATGCTGAAAGTGAAAAGGTAGATCTATGTTTTTTTTTTTGAGACAGAGCCTCAAGCTGTCCCCCTGGGTAGGGTGCCGTGGCATCACAGCTCACAGCAACCTCCAACTCCTGGGCTCAAGCGAGTCTCCTGCCTCAGCTTCCCAAGTAGCTGGGACCACAGGCATCCTCCACAATGCCCAGCTATTTTTTGGTTGCAGCCATCATTGTTGTTTGGTGGACCCAGGCTGGATTTGAACCCGCCACCTTAGGTGTATGTTGCTGGCACCTTAGCCGCTTGAGCCACAGACGCCGAGCCGTAATGCCATGGAAATGGGTCCATGATACTTGTTTTGTCTTATTTTGTTTTGAGACAGAGTCTTACTCTGTCACCCTGAGTACAGTGCTCTCATGTCATAGCTCACAGCAACCTCAAACTCTTAGGCTCAAGTGATCCTCTTGCCTCAGCCTCCCAAGTAGCTGGGTCTACATATGCCCACCACAACACACAGCTATTTTTTTCTATTTTTTTAGTCGAGACAGGGGTCTCGATCTTGTTCAGGCTGGTCTCATACTCCTGAGATCAGGCAATCCACCTGCTTTGGCCTCCCAGAGTGCTAGGGTTACAGACATGAGACACCATGCCCTGACCCTGATACTCATACATTAAGTGAAGAAAACAAGTTACAGAACACTGTGTATACACAATTTCTGGTAAAATAGACAGATGACAGATAGATAGAACAATAGAAAGAAATGCAGAGAAATATGTATGTTTGGTAGACACCAAAACATTAGCAAACTTTGTCCCAGATAATGAGATTATGAGTGATTGCTTTTTTTTTTTTTTTGTCCAGCAGGCTAGGGCTGGGTTTGAAGCCACCATCCCTGGTGCACAGGCCAGGGCTCTAGCTACAGTCACCCAGACTGCTATTTTCTTTTATATCCTTATCTATGTTTTCTGAATTGTTTTCAATGAGCATGTGTTATATTTACTATTAAAAGAAGAAACTACAAAACTTTTAAAAAGCATTCCCTAATCAACAGAAAGCATCTGGGGAAGGATTCTAACAGCTAGCTAGAAGCAAGGCCACCGAGCAGACAGAGAAACTGAAAGGGAAAGTGGAAGAATACCAAAGACACGTTTGTAGATTGTACTTCAGTGAGGTGAAACATTTCGGGAATTTATTTATTTACATATCTGCCTCCCCCAAGAGTGTGCTCTCATAAAGGTTAGGGACAATGCCATTTTTATAGCTGACTACATGCTACTATGTCTGACACTTCACTGTTGCTGAATACAGACTTGCTGAATGAGTGGATGGATGAACAACAAGAATACAGAGTTCACTAGCTCTACCTGTAGATGCCTTTATCCCTTGCTGGTATATTTCATTTTCTATATCTAATGTGGAAAATCAGTAACCCATCTTCATGTGTCAACTATCTGAGTTCTTAGAATTGTTACTTATACACTGATAGAGGCATTTTTGTTATTTAATTCTCTTATGTTTCCTCCCCCTTTCCACTATAGAGTTCTCACTCAGAAACTCCTCCTTGGCTTTAGAATAACTTAAAATGAAGAGTATCTACCAAACCTTTGAGGAACTTTAAGTTTCCTAAGATCACCTTTGCATAATTTCCTTTTCCTTTCCCATCTTTGCACTTATATTTCTCTAGATGTCATCTTGTAATTTTTTTCAATCTTATATACAGAGGGTGCCAAAAAAAAGTATATACACATTTTAAGAAAGGAAAAACCGGGGGCGGCACCTGGGGCTTAGTGAGTAGGGAGCTGGCCCCATATACCGAGGGTGGTGGGTTCGAACCCGGCCCCAGCCAAACTGCAACAAAAAATAGCCGGGCGTTGCGGCAGGCACCTGTAGTCCCAGCTACTCGGGAGGCTGAGTCAGAGAATCGCCTAAGCCCAGGAGTTGGAGGTTGCTGTGAGCTGTGACGCCATGGCACTCTACCCAGGGTGATAAAGTGAGACTCTGTCTCAAAAAAAAAAAAAAAAAGAGAGAGAGAGAGGAAAAACTGTATTAAAATTGTAATACTCAGGTTACATTTGACTTTTACAAGTAAAAGAAATACAAGATACAGGCGGCGCCCGTAGCTCAGTGAGTAGAGCACCAGGCTCTAGAGCACACCGAGGCTGGTGGGTTTGAACCCAGCCTGGGCCAGTTAAAATCAACAATGACAACTGCAACAACAAAAAAGGCTGGGCCTGGTGGCAGGAGCCTGTAGTCCCAGCTACCTGGGAGGCTGAGGCAACAGAATCACTTAAGCCCAAGAGTTGGAGGTTGCTGCGAGCTATGACGCCCCAGTACTCTACCGACGACAACATAGTAAGACTGTCTCAAAAGAGAAAAAAAAAGAGAGAGATACAATATACATAACAAATGTTTTCAGTGTATACTGAGTATTACAATTTTTCTTTTTTTTGAGACAGAGCCTCAAGCTATCCCCGTTGGCAGAGTGCCATGGCATCACGCTCACAGCAACCTCCAACTCCTGGGCTCAAGCGAGTCTCCTGCCTCAGCCTCCCAAGCAGCTGGGACTACAGGCGCCCGCCACAACACCCGGCCATTTTTTGGTTGCAGCTGTCATTGTTGTTTTGCCGGGTCTGGGCTGGGGATTCGAACCTGCCACCTTAGGTGTACGTGGCTGGCGCCTTAGCCAGTTGAGCCACAGCCGCCGAGCCGAGTATTACAATTTTAATACCGTTTTTTCCTTTCTTAAAATGTATATACATTTTCTGGCACCCTTTGTATATGTGATTTTATTTTATTTCATTTTTTGAGACAGAGTCTCACTTTGTCACCCTCAGTAGAGTACTATGATGTCATAGCTCACAGTAACCTCAAAATCTTGGGCTCAAGTGATTCTCTTGCCTCTGCTTCTCCAACAGATGGGACTATAGGCACCCATCACAACGCCCTGCTATTTTTAGACAGAGTCTCGCTCTTGCTCACGCTGGTCTGGAACCTATGAGCCCAGGCAATTCACCTGCCTCGGCCTCCCAGAGTGCTAGAATTACAGGCATGAGCCACCACGCTGGGCCTGGATATGTGACTTTAGATTTTATATGCCCAAACTGTCATTTGACAGTGACCTTTGCAAAAGAATATCCCACTGATATGTTCATCTTGATATGAGCCTTGAGGTTCAAAATGTGATCTGACAATGGAGCAAAATATTTTAAGCTACTGCTAGCCTAGACATGTCAGCAGGAATGTTATGGGTGTTTCACAGTTTGAAAGGGGAGAATTTGGGCTGTGCCTGTAGCTCAAAAGGGTAGGGGACTGGCCCCATAAGCTGGAGGTGGTGGGTTCAAACCCAGTCCCGGCCAAAAAAAAAAGGGGGGGAGGGAAGAATTCCACTTTCAGATGTCTCTCTTGCTCTCTCATATATGTATATAATATACATATATAATAAAATAATATATTATAGCCCTTGTGATAGTAACTTTATTTTCTTTTCCTGTTTTCTATTAGAAACCTGTGTCAAGGCTGGCGGAAGACAGTGAGTTATCTCAACGGATTGGTCACTGTCAGTTACCCATCACACTCCTTATTCTACTCTTTCCCACCTTGTCACTACTGCATTTGGACAATCAATCACTCAATCCATCAACAAAAATAAAAACCTATATTAAACATGTACCTTGGGAATTTATGAACTCTTTGTAAAAACCAGACTAACTTCATCTGTCATTTCTACTTAGCTCTCCATCCTCTCTCCTTTCCTTAGCAGTATCGAGGGTTAGGCTCATGACCTCTTCACATCTCATTGGTTATTTCCTTATTACTTAAATAATTCTCAGAATCTTTCTCCAAGAAGAATTTCTCCCTACTTATTTTGTTAGAAATCCATATATCTGACCATTCTTAGTATATATTTTTGTCTCACTGCTGTCTTTGATTCCTTTCACTTTCTGGAAATTCAAAATATCTGTAGACAGCATCATATTTCACATTTAAACTATCCTTTCCTCTCTCTTCTTTCTCTGGAAACCAAGCTCATCCCTCTGCTCTTCACTACCATTCCCTCTCTCCTTCCTCTGTCACTCTTCTTTTCCTTATACCAATATTTTTCACCATTATTTCTCCCTAATATTTTTACTAGTTCTTTTGCAAACTTCCCATGCATATCTGGCATTTAGGAAAACTAGCCTAGATCATCATTCTTTTTTTTGAGACAGAGCCTCAAGCTGTCACCCTGGGTAGAGTGCTGTGGCATCACAGCTCACAGCAACCTCCAACTCCTGGGCTCAAGCGAGTCTCCTGCCTCTGCCTCCCAAGTAGCTGGGACCACAGGCGCCCGCCACAACGCCTGGCTATTTTTTGGTTGTAGCCATCATTGTTGTTTGGCGGGCCCAGGCTGGATTCGAACCCACCAGCTCAGGTG